TAAAAATTTAAAAAGCAACCATTGCTTTTTCAAACAAATGAATTCCAGGCCAAGGAGTGAGAAATATGGGGACCCCTAGGTTAAAAGATTAGAGATACATGAAATGTACGGACCGTCTTTGACACCTAACTTGAATTGAGAGGGGAAAAAAGACAATTTAAATAACTAATCACTAAGAAATTGTTAACACTGATGGTATTATGGTTTATGTAAGAGTCTTTATCTTTTAGACATACATAGCAATTGCTAAGATTTTCTTCAAGATAAATCCAATTGGGAAGATGGATGATAAGACAAGACTAGCCACGAACTGATGTTTAAGTAGGTTCATTAAACCATTCTACTTTTGTGTATGTCTGGAAGTTTCCACTTAAAACTTATAAAGCACTATGCAATGTCACTATGTGTAAGAACACAGGAAGCTGGCAGCAACCAAACACTACCAACTAAATTTTTATTAAGAATTTCCAGTCATCTCAGAGCAAGAGCTCTGGGAAATAATGAGGGTGTGACATATCCATGGAGTTATTTGTCAATGTTTAGTTAATACCACCAGTCACAGGCTAGCTAAATAGCTGTATCAGCCAAATATTATACACACAATAACACAAAGCACCGACTCCTCACCTACACAGTCCTTCTCACCAGAGTTCATTACAGGACCAGAACTGCCACTGTAATCACCCTCACTGGCTACAAAAAATACTACCTTCAGGTAAATACATGTCTATTGTATTTTATAATTTTATAGCAATCCCCTAGGCCACCACATTCTCACCAAAATTGCACATCCAATAGACACATGAAAACACAGTTATTAAAAAGTTAAACATAAATTTTCCAGCCAATATAACAATTACATTCCTAGGAATCTACCTCAGAGAAATGAAAACATACGTCCACACACAGACAAGTACATAAACATTCTTATCATTCGTAACAAAAAAAAAATGTGAACAATCCAATGTCCATCAACTGGTGAATGGATAAACAAATGAGGAATATCCATACAGTGAACACTATATAAAGGAACTAAGTACATGTATACACTATAGCATGGATGAACCTCAAAAATATACCAACTGAAAGCAGCCAAATACAAAAGACATCAAATTGTATTAATTTCACTTATAGTTTCTAGACAGGGAATCTCTACAAAAACAGATCAGTGTGGAAGCCTAGGGCTGGGCAAGCAAAGGAGCATGAGGGGAACTTTTATGGCCGATGGAAATGTTCTAACACTAGACTGTGACAATGATTGTACAAAGTCTATAAATTTACTACTGAATCTTATACTTACATGGGGTGAATTGTATAGCATATAAATTATACTTCAATAAAGCTACATTTTTATAGTACCATTACACCCATTTCTTAGGAATGACTATTTTAAAGCTCTGGCTGACAGCCTATTCATTGTAGCTTCAGTACAATAAACTCTAATTTAAGAATATTATTAGCATTTGTTTAAAAACTAAATATGCTATTTTAAAGGATTCCAAGTACACATATCACCTTACTGAGCAAAATATTACTCTTTTAGCTACGTGCAATGTCAACAAATCATTGTCTAGCAGGCGTCTTCAAACTACGGCCCGCGGGCCACATGCGGCCCGCAGAGGAGTCTGATCTGGCCCGCCAGGTTTTTTGGGCAGTGAGCGCAGCCGAGGTGTTACAGTAGGAATTAGTAGTTCATATAGTCCAGCCCTCCAGCTCTCTGAGGGACCGTGATCTGGCCCCCACTTTAAAAAGTTTGAGGACCCCTGGATAGCTTGCATTAATTAGCCTTTTCTCTTCGCCACTTTGTTTTTCCCCTAATCTTATGCCCTACAGTATTCCTTTTAGTGAAAAATCTACTTGTTAGTGCCCAAGTTTTCCATTAGATATAAATTTTCTTAGAATATTTCAGAACCTGAAATAAAATTTATTATATATAGTCTAAATATAAAATAAGCATTATCCTTTGTTTATTTGGTGATTAAGCTACTCTCACATGCCGCCTCTGATAAGTTTTAAATTTTTTATTTTAAATCAAGCTTTCTTTTCATTATTTTGGTTCAAATTATTTTTTGCTTTAAACTGATCTGATAGATTCTTCATTTCAGAGCAGTGCTGTCTTCTATGACCAGGCCAGCTTTAATTTCAATTTGATTCCATCTTTTTCCAGTCCACTGAAAAACCTGCCAAAGAGGATTTCCCTCTAAGCCAGCATTAAAAAAATAATTTTTTTAAACCAATCACTTTCCCCTCCTCCCACAAAAATAAATCTCATATGCAATGCCAAGTTCTACAAGGATTAAAGTAAAAAGCTACAGATGAACTGGAAGAAGAGCCAGCCTGCCTGCTACAGCCCAATCTCAAGAAATACAGCAGCCTTAAGGTATGGCTTAAAAACCAATGTTCTAGGACAAGCAACATTGATTTCTGCACAGCAAAAATACAAAGCACACTTAAACAAAACTCATAAGAAAAACTTGGATATATAAATTAAAATACACATTTTATAATCTCAATTTTAAAAATAGATTATAGTGATTCACAAAATAATATGCCTTTAAAATTCCATAAAGACATTGCTTTCAGGAATTTCATCTACTACAACAAACGCTGTGCATCTTTTATCAGAAGTTCCCTTGTGACATAAAAAAAGCACGTCAACCACGGAAGTCAAAGGCCATATTAACACAAAACATTGAGCCTAGTGGAAAGTTGTCATATAAATTAGCTGGTCAGCAGGAAATGCCAATTATCCAACAGGCCATTATGAAAATAGGATGGCAAGAATGCTCTGGGTAAAACCATTTATGTAACTGTGTTACAAGGTTAAAAAAAACAAACCCAAAAAGCAGTATTATCTGCCTCCAGAATCAGATACAAATCAAGCCAAGTATTCAACCAAAATGGCAACAAATAGTAAGGATAATCCTAGAAAAAAAGCATGTACTATTATGAATTTTCAAATTCATCTAAACTGTCAGATATAAACCCCTTCCCCTCAGAAATCAAAGGTAAAGGTAGTGCAATATCAAACTTCACATTTTTAGAAAAAATAGAAATTATTATTATATGGTTGTAAAAATGGAGGCAAGTAAAGAGTTCAGAAATATACTTGTTTATAATCAATTAAAAGATGAGCCATAATTTGAACCCTAATTATCACATTTTGTAGAAATCACAATCCAGGTATTGTGTCCTCAATTATTAAGATATATGTTAAATAGTTCACATTTTAAAAACATTTTAGCATTACATTACCAAATTTGATAAAATCTTATCAAAACATCTATGTCTTCAATATAAATCATATTGTTAAAAGTATGAACATTTAAAGAAAACTGCTGAGGTGCCAAATAAGTATTTTCTGTTAAATATACACAAATTAACATTTAGAACTACATAAATTAATTCTTGCTAAAAGTTGATTTAGGTTTACAAAGGCATACTTTGTGAACTATAATAAATTTCCCCAGCACCGTTTTCTTTTTTTTATTCCAAAATTATTTCATTAGGTTTAACTTTCTTCTGTCATTCCTAAGTAAAAGTTACAGAAGGTTTACAATACGTAGTTTTAATAGTAACGTTTTTTAAAAATCTAAGCAAAGTGCACATTAAACTAGCTGCAACTACTCAAATTTATCAAATAAAAAATAGAACACTTCATTCACTTAAGTCTTTGAGGAAAAAAATAGTATACCTTGCTTAAATAAGGATTCCTCAGTAAGGATATTATATAAAAGATTTCCCATGTATTTTATTAAGTTCACTGTCTCTCATTAAAACTTTTTTACAAAAGTCTAATGAAGAACACATACTTACAATACCATATTACACAACTACAGTACTGTTAATTAAATAAAGCAGCCCAGTATAGCTGTAAACATTTTAAATGTAGTAAACAAAACTTGGCATGTCTTTTCTTCCTAAAACTTGCCATTACAATGCTCTTTCCAGGGAAATTATTCTTCCTGGATAAGTTTCATGTATATTTTAGTCTTTAAAAATATTACACTGAAATAATGTGTGAAAAGATTTAGGCATGGCAATTTCACTGAAGCTTTTATTGCCTCTGCTGTAATATGACAGGGATTGTAAGGAACACAATTGAACTTACAGAGATATGGTGATGATAGTCACTGAAGATAATTTTGATCTCAAGTATTTTTATATGTGGGCACTTCTAATTTTATTCACTTTAGTATTTTAAAAGCATTATATTTTAAAATGTGTACCTGTTTTGACATTTGGCACAGAGGAAACTGTACCTGTGGGTCAGTTTAAAACAAAGAATCAGCATGGGGAGTTTACCAGAATAAAGATGAAAACACTAATGAATTAAAGCAATTCAAGTGTGTGTGTGTGTATTTCAACCTCTTTCTCACAGACATGCACTCACATGCATGCACTCACACACCCAACCACACATGTAAGCATTTTGAGTACAGAATAGTCCTGTAACCAGACACTTATCCTCAGAGTAATCATACCACATTAAATCAGTCTTCTCTTTTCAGCCCTAGGAATAATATTGTTTAATTCTAAGATGCCATCATAAGAGTGAACAACCTTAACTTTTATGCTACATAATTATATTCAAAGATTACGTATTTTTGTTTATAATTACACAGTAATTATAAATGTTTAGTACCAAACTGATGACAAATACTATTTCGTTGAAAAGGTCTTACATTTAAAAGGAAAAGTCTGTAAAACCCAAGGCACTAGGCCATGAACCAATATCAGACTTTTATGAAAAACAATTTATAATGGGGGGGAAAAAGAATGGGATCTCATTTCAAGACACCGCATACTTGAATTAATCTATCTGAAAACAATACCATAAACTCAAAATCTTCAAGACAGGAAACAAAATAATACATATATCTTTTAAATTTTTTTCATAATTGAAGTTCCTCTTTATATTTACAAATATGAAATCAGGAAATACTTGAAAGGGAAGCAGCAGGATTCTTCTTTTTTCTTCCTTCCTTCCCCCCCACCCCCCAAAATAACCAATTCCAGTAACTTAAATAGAAATTTTCATATTTTTCTTTTGGAAGAATATGATTGGAATATTAATGTAAGATCTGTGGGAAACCTTTCTAGTCAACTTCAAAATCATGTAAATAAAAAGTGGTCTTAATATGTCATTGTTCTTAAAATCATTTCCACATCTAATTTCCACTGCTAATCTGAAGTACATTCTTTGATAATTTCAACATAAGATCTTAGAGAGTACCTGGATACACCAAGCAATACCTATTCCTGTTAAAGTCCAACATTTGAAGTTTTACATTTTTTAACCTACCTTACAGAAATCTTTAAAAAAGCAATAAGTCCTCCTTCACGTGTCAGGAAGTGAACAGGAAGATCAGCATTTTCAGCATAAAAGCAGCTCATAGGTCTTGTAATGAATATCATACATACAAGATAGAATTCTGCTTTGATGTGAAAACATCAAATTTGAGTGAAATAAAAACAGTAAAGAGACTGAATAATTTACAAAAATAGAAGCCAGATTGGTGTTTTGCATCAAGTGCATGCTTGCTTGAAAATCTTTGCTCTTGAAGTATTTGGCAACCACAGTGATTAGCAGTTAAAGCCGTTTTCAACAAAATAAGGTCATCAAAAATGGACTATTTGTCTGAAAAAGCAGTACCTATGAGGATTGAACATCATGGCTCATCACAACCATTTTCAAAATTTAATTCCTACTATCTTCTTATAAATTAAGAAAATTTCATTTTTGTTCCATGGTGTGCTAAAAAAATAAAATAAACCCTCATGCCTAAATTTAGAATATTGTATTGTGTAGCAATCTAAAACATTCCAAACAAATTAAATAGTTTAACTTATTCAACAGGCATATAAGCATTTCAAAATCATAATGAAATCCAATTATGTGCTGCAGGATGTAGACAGCAGAATCTAACATTATGCAGACGTTTTCTAAATAGAAGCTCCCTGTAGGACAACCATATATAAACATCGGTGAGATAAGTAGAGCAGGTCTGTGTGACCTTTTGAAATCGAGGGTCTGAAACACAAATTTTTCAGGTAGGCACAAGAAATTATCCTAAAAAATTTTCACGTTGGTTATTTTGACATTTTTTTCATCTGATTCTCTACTCACATCAACAATACATGTGATTTTCCAGGAAAAAAAAAAAAATCCCCCAAACCAAAACACCATTCCAGATCTGGTACACTTAAATATATCACTCTCATTGGAAGTGCTATTAGCATAGTCTTTGCAACTAGCCCAAAGCATATTATTTAGGAAGTTTTTATAAATTGTTTGTGATGTTCATGTTTAATTCTTATGCCACACTGTTTTCTGATGAAGACAGCATTGTGCTTTATGCAAGAATGGAAACCTCAAAATAATCACCATAAAGCTTCTAAGACTCATGGGAGAATAAACTAGGATGGTCCACAGATATAAGATGAAATCCACAATGTAGAATTATAAATGGTTAGAGCGGCCAGGACTAGAAGACAAGCCCAAACCACCATTAGAAGAATGAAATACGGTATGGTCCAAGATGTATCCTTAAAGTTTTGTCTCAACCCTCAGTCTGAATTACGAGGATTGATCTTCAGTTCAGTCCAGCCAGCAGAAATTGACTGTGCAATTTTCCGTTGTATTTATTGTACAGACTATGTACATTCTAGAAGGTTCCTTTAGTGCTACACTGTTGTACTTTTTGTCCCAGCAATTTGAGGGCGTGCAAATTCCACAAAGTCATCAATAAGAACAGGCCATGCTCCTGGGGGTGGGGGGGATGGGGTTATGGGAGGAAGGAAAGAAAGAAAAGCAGAAATAAGACTAACATTTTAATAAGTTCCTTTATATTTTAACTATCTTCTACATAATAAAGTATAACTTTATAAATATTCCCACTAACAGGACTTTCAAAATTCAAGCTTTGATCCTTCTTTAAATGATAAAAATAAATCTTCTGCTAATCCATCATTATTATTATGGTTTCCCTGGCTAGACTGGCTCAGTGGTTGAGTGTCGACCTATGTACCTGGTCATGGCTCAATTTTTAGGGCACATGCCCGGTTTGCAGGCTCCATCCCCAGTGTGGGGCATGCAGGAGGCAGCCAATCAATGATTCTCTCTCACCTCTCTCTCTCCCTCGCCCTTTTTTCCTTCCTGAAATCAATAAAAATGTTTCTTAAATAATAACATCATTTTCTGAAAGCCACTGAAGTCAGGCCACTACAGTAATTTGGTCAAAATTGGTAGTATAAGGAATAATCATAATATACTGGCATGCTGCCAGTGCTTAAAGCATAGTAAGTAGGAGGAAACAAATTTTCAGGCATTTTTTTAAAATCTTGCAAAAAAATCTTAGGAAAATTAACAGCAAGTATCCAAATCTACCCTTTTTCATGATAAATACTAAAAAATTTTAAATTGTACGCCTCTATACATCACATGCCAACCTCTAAATCAGAAAGTTCTTCAGTTTTCTATAAGGCCTAGCAGCACAATTATCATTCATATGCAAGATTACGCATTTCTTACTTTTTAATGAATACTATAAATTACAATGAAAACAAAAAGAATAAAACATCATCATCTCTGGTTAGATTATATGAATGGCTCCAAAACACTTTTAAGGAGGCCAAACCACTGGAGATTTTTCAAAGAACACCTCTATCTGTAGAACAATCTCAAAAACACTGACTTCTTCATACATATGAAAATGTATTAAGAAGTCAATGTAAATCACTGCCACTTCTAGATAAACAGGTAGTAGATGGTTGCATCATCATCTTTACAGCAAGAAATATAATAACAGAAAAGCACTTAATCAGTGAATATTTATTGATTGTCAATAGTATTATAGTAGGCAGCTGAAGTACATTTCAAATTAGACAAGGTCACTAAACTTAAATTTACTATTCAACTTCACAGACAAGACAAACACATAATAATAAAAGACATACATATAACTATAAAAGTACTTTGCTATGAGAACAGGTTTCCTAAAATAAACTGAAAATCTAAACATGAATGAAAATTACTCATGCTTTTTTGGAAGATACGACTACTGACTTGGTATTTAAAGAAACTATAAACTGATAAAGAAATGAAGGCACTCCATACATTTAGAAGAGCACAAATAAAAGCTCAGAAGAGGGAAATCCAACTCCAAGAAAAAACAGAAGTAGACAAGAAGTTCAAAAGTGTATGATAAAAGAAGGCAGGTAAAAACAAAAAACTGGAAGGGCAAAACGTTTTATTACCTTCCTCATCATAATTAGACATGTCATCTGCAATCATTGTACTGAAGTCTAGAAGAAGATTCCAAGTATCTTTTGGTATGGATCGTTTATGATGTTCCTATTTAAAAAAATCCAAATCACTAAAAAGAGGTTTTTGTTTTTTTTAGTCCAGATGATACTAAATACAAGAATGCAAACCAAATTGTGTATAGAAATTTTACTTATCAAATTTCTCCTTCTATGTTCATTACATGCTTTAATAAGAGTCAATCATGCATTAAAATAGATCATGCTTTATTTTCAAACATAACAAAATTTTTGAGAAAACAAGGAACTGCAGAAAACATGAACTTACCAACAAAAATTTATTCCATAAGTCTAAGAATTTAAATCTTCCATTAAGCACTAAATTCCAGTAGGCAATGGCCATTTCTAGATCTGTAATATTAAAAATAAATTATGTATGTCAAATGCCATGAATATCTGTCCTTAAAAAACAAACAAAAAAAACAGGTTAGACGACAGAAAGACAAAAAAAAAAAAAAAAAAAAAACCCACTAACCCGTGTGCTCTGAATACTTACATATTAAAATTTCCTGAAAAAAATAAGCCCAAGGTTTGTATCCTGGCTCCATCACCAATGGATGATTCCATCAGGGCAAGAAGAATACCACTTACCTCAAAGGGTGTTCCTGAAGTTTCAATTAGGTAATGTAATAAGCAGTAATAAGCATGCTTGACTAGTTCATCAGTACTCAAATGTTAATGTTTCCCAACCTCAGCACTTTGGACATTTTGAGCCAGCTAATTTTTGTTGTGGAGTGATGTCCCATGCATTGTAGCAATAGCAGCATCCCTGGCCTCTAACCACCAGATGACAGTATCAGCTCCACCCTATCCCTGGAGGTGGCCACCAAAGATGTCTCTAGATATTGCCAAAGGTCCCCTGAGAGACAAACTTGACCCTAGTTGAGAGCCACTGACATACACCTACAAGTTGTAATGCAAAGAATTCCTATACACAATCCTAACCAATTTTCCAAGATGTTAGCTCTCTGATCCTGTCCTCAATGAAACTATTTTTTTAAAAATTTAAAATTAATAAACTAAGATTTGTTTTAAAAATTTTTGATGAAATTATGTAATGTCCATTTAATGATGATTGTAGCAGAAAAGGGTAAAAAAGCAATACTGCCACATGACAAAGACCTACTCCTGACACATGACAGAGAGAAAGACCCATCATCTCTTTCAATGAAGTAAAGCAGTTAACCAGGTATCAAGCTTTAATGAGTAAATTTACATTTCCAGGTCAGGAAAAATTACATCCTAAGTAACACATTGTGGGTAGATCATGAGCATTCTCATGTTTTCATATTACACAGTGTTTTACATAAATGTTAAATGCACGCCTTAAAATTAAATATCCATTGCATTTTTAAGTTCTTACATGTCCTTACAAGCTAGTATCTTTTTAAAGTATGATACTTTGTAAAGCGTTTTTTGAACTCCGTCAATAGAAACTTATCTGGCCACTGGGTAAAGCTAGCAATAAAATTATTGGTGCACAATGTGTTAAAAATCCTTTTGGATCTGATCTCCAAAACACTCTTGATAATCTGGGGAATCATGAGAGACTAGGAAGGACTTCAAAAAGACTCACATCCTACCTGAAAGAAAAACATAAAAAGGCCATAAGGAGAAAAAAAAATCTCATCTTCATAGGATCTCAATCACTTCAAGGATAGGAACTACTACATATATGCAAACTGGCAGACTGAAATACACAGCAATTATTGAGAAACTGAATGAATGAATGCACTTGCTATGGTCCCAAACCTTCAAACCCGTCATTACCTCTTCCTTTTAAACTCAATGGAGCTTTTTTTCTCCTATCCAAAGATAAGCCCCCAGCACCTCTAGTCCCACCCTGCCTCTTCAAGGCATCTTGTCTATTATCTTTTGATTAATTTTCCTCCCTTCCTACATCTTCAACTTTGCCATCTTCTGGCTTTCCCCCTCCACAAAGAAACAAGCTCAGGTTATCGGCTATGTTTAAAAAATCTATCTTGGGTCTTTCATTACCTTACTAGCTACCCTCTTTCTCCTTTCCTTCACAGATAATATTCTACTTTCATTCATAATGTGTTCCTAAAACATGTCTGAAAGTCAAACTCAGATCCCCATATTTTAAGAGAACTAGATATATGACGCCACTAATTCCTATTCACAATTCCTTTTTAATCTTTAATTACTTACCCAAAATTCCTTCCAGGTTCTTTAATTTTGTCCTTTTCTTTACCAACCATCAAACTTTAAGTGCAGTTAAGTAAAACTGCTATTATTAGCAAGCAGAGTAAGATTTGCTGTTATTAATATGCTTAACTATTTCCTTCTTCACTTCAAATGCATTAAATGTACAAGGACTAAGCTCATTATTAGTGTTATCATTTTTTCTTAACTAATTTTAACAAAATGAGAAACAATGAAATATTTATATAACTGCAAAATATGAGACACCTATAAATGCCCATCTGTCAGCCAATACCTAACATAAGACTCTGACAAGAGTAGAAGTGTACATGTATGATGTTTGAAGTTCAGGTTGTAAAAGAGAACTTTTTGTAATTTACATTCATTACCCCATTTCCTCACCTCCATACACTATTTAATTCTATAAACTTGTCTCTACCTCTGCAACTCCACTAAAAGTGATCTCCGGAGTGGTTCCCAAGCAAACACTTTTATGTCCTTAATTTACTTCGCTCTCTGCAGTATTTCACAGAACTGAGCACACCTAGATGGGACTTCTTCAGCTTTAATGGTAGCACCCTATGGACTGCCCTCTGTCCTCTCTAGCCTTCTTACTCTTTTTCACAGGTTCCTCTTCCTCCATTCATCCATTAAATGTCAGTGTTCTATAACACTGTATGTCAACAATAACCACTTCCACTTCCCTCAGATTTTCCAAACCTTTACTTTTCTTCACACTAACAACTCCTAAAACTGAAATTTCTATCTCTATTTTCCTAGATTCATATATCTAATTGCCTAAGGACATCTTCAAATGGGTAGCCCCCCAAAAAACTCTTAATTCAATAGGGTTCAGACTGAACTCATTTTCTTACCTCTACAGACCTGCTATTCCATTTATCTCAATAAATAGCATCCCCTTCAGTGCTTCTCAATGAAACATCTCATTCTGAGGAACTGTCTTATGTATCGCAGGACATTTAGCATCCCCCTAATGTCAGCAGAAACTCTCAGTCATTATGACATCCAGCAGACCACCTCCCCCCTCCATTTCCAAATAGTCAAATGTGTTGAGAAATGTAGGGAAACTCCTTTCTTCATCATATACTTCCAATCGAAGCTCTCTCATTCTGACTTCTCCATCTCCATTGGCAAGGCCTATACTAAGGTCTTCTTCATGTCTAGCTAAATCACTGCAACAGCTTCATAACCAGTCTCTCCCTCTAGTTTTGCCCCTACTCCTTTTAAAGGCTCAACAGTGCTTTCAAATGAAGCTTTCAGGCATATTTATTTGGTGTCACTTCCATGTTAAATTCTTCAATGATTAAAACAAGATACCACTACACACCTTTTGGAATGGCCAAACTCCAAAACACTGATAACACCAAATGCTGGCGAAGGTGTGGAGAAACAGGAACTCTCATTCATTGCTGGTGGGAATGCAAAATGACACAGCCACTTTGGAAGACAGTTTGGCAGTTTCTTACAAAACTAAACATATGCCTACCATAAGATCCAGCAATCACACTCTGCAGTATCTACCCAAATGTAGTGAAAACTTATGTCCACACAAACACCTGCCTGTAGATGTTTACAATAGTTTTATTCCTAACTGCCAAAGCTTGGAGGCAACCAACATGTCCTTTAGAAGGTGAACAGATATATTGACTGTGGTACATCCAGATGAAGGAATATTATTCAGTGCTAACACAAAATGAGCTATTAAATTGTGAAAAGACATGGAGGAAAACGAATGCATATTAATATTACTAAGTGAAAGAAGTCAACCTGAAAAGGCCATAGATTGTAAAATTCCAACTGTATGACATTCTGGAAAAGGCAAAGTATGGAGACAGTAAAAAGATCAGTGGTTGCCAGGGTTAGGATGGAGGAAAGGATGAGTAGGCAAAGCAGAGAGGATTTTTAGGGCATGGTACTATAATGGTGGATACAAGTTATTATATATTTGTCCAAATGCACAAAATGTACAACTCCAAGAATGAACCTTAATGTAAACTTGAACTTTGGGTGATAATGCTTGGGAGGTGTGGGGGGATGTTAATGATGGAAGAAGCCAAGCATGTGTGAATGGGGGTATATGTGAATTCTCTGTATTTTCTGCTTAATTTTGCTATAAGCCTAAAACAGCTCAAAATTTATTGAAAAATGTTTTTTACTCTATAATGATTTCATTTTCTATTGCCTTCAGATAAAATCTACCATCTCTCGTCAAAAGAATTTACTTGCAGTTTCTCAAAGGTGCTCCACCTCTCTCCACATTAGAGATGACTTCTTTTTCTTTCGTCCTTGAAAATGTGTAATTCAATCTTTATGAAGACTTTGCAAACTCACCCAGACAGACTTAAGATGCTTCTGACAACATGCTCTCAGAGTAAGCAGTCAATAAATGTTGAATGAAAAAGGAACACTCAAAAAAAGTTAAAATTAAGAGCTGAAACAGATAAAATTAAGTTGAACAGAGATAAAATGTTAACTGCCACAAGAACAGAAAAATGTGCCTTTAAACAAATGTTTGAGTGACAGAGAGAATAACCTAACTAGAGAGAAGTGCTTTAACACAGTTTCAGCCTCTTAAATTTCAACTCCAGCACTAGTTAATGATCTTGGGCAACTGAATTCATGCCTCTAATTCAGTTCAAAATAAAAATAATTGAATGTACTCTCACAGGTTGTTGTTAAGGATCAAATGAGTTAATATATATAAAACATTTAAAATGGAGCCTGGTAAATATGAGTTCCTTACTATGACTTCTTTAAATGATTTAATAATTTATTATTATAGATTCTGAATCAGTATTGGAAAGAACAAATTCACTAATAGAAAGAAATAAAAGCAGTTAGAAGGAAAATGCAGAAAAAAGGAAACAGTCCCTTACAGTAAAATTAAAAATGCAAACAGAGGTAATCCCTGTGTCATTCTTTCAAACAGAATCAAAAGGCCAATGTGGGATTTCATAAAAGATGATCAACTGAGTGCCAGATGAACATGAAAATGAATTAAGATTGGATCCAAGCATTGTCCCTGCAGGAAACAAAATGTTGCCAACTTACTAGGGAGGACAGAATAGTGATTAAAAATCCTACTCAAAATGTTTTCATTTACTTAGAACTATCTACAGTTAGAACAACATAGTGTAATTTTAAAAATGCAGAAACTGGAGTCAGATCTAAGGTTGAATCGTAGTTCTCACATAACTCTAAAGTTATGGGCTTTTAATAAGTCAGATTCTCTGACATGATTTTCCTCATCATGAAAAGATAACAGGTTTCTTTTAATTTAGCACAAAGGGTTGTTACAAGAGCCAAAGAGGATTTTATAGATGAAAATACACTTTAAAAACAATCAATAAAATTATGCCTAAATATTAAAGTAAATGTTTAACAATGTTAAAAATTTTTAAATCATATAACAGGTGTAGAATTCTAACTGAAAACCACAGTTTATAAGAAAATAACCTATAGACTTTAGTCTAATTAAAGTTCAGAATGGTCCTCAAAATGACAGGGCTGTTAAAGAACAAATATAATTTTTTACTAAATAAATAACCAGTCCCACAAGAAATAACAGATCCACAGTATTCTACATTAAACAGTCTCTGTCTTCAAGAGCTCTATTCCGAGAGAACCTGAGAAACTAGAAATGTGTCTTCAGGTGACAGTAACAGGAATAATAAAGGTCTCCTCAAATGAACAGTTAAAATAATTGGGATACTGACCTGCAACAAAGGAGAAGGGTGATAGTGACCTTTTAAGGTTAGACTTCCTCTGTGTGTAGTAGAGGACAAATAAGAGCAATGATGGAAGTTATAAAGACAAAGATGTTAGCTAGTAAGAAAGAACTGTGTGGTAACAAGAGTATCCAGTGAAGAGAATGGACCACTTCCTAAAATAAAGTGCCCACTTTCCCTATGTTCAAAAGTAAAAGTTAAATGAACATCAGGTACAAATGCTATTTTAGATCTAACAGAGGACTTATGAAGTCCCTTTCAAAAATTTAAGATTCAGAAGACTATCAGAAATGGCAGGCAGGCGACTGAAGCAGATGGTGATAAAGGAAGCACCCCATCCTACTGTCACAAGAAATAAGGTTAGAGACAATGACATAAATGAAAAACACCAGCTCTTACTATCATTCGCACAGCTCTCCTATATAATAAAGAGCTAATATGCTAATGGTTGTGATGTCCTCACGCCATAACAACAGATCAGGAGGTGGCTGCATGTGTGTGCCCAGTGGGGCGGAGCTCCAGAGAAAGGGTGAAATCGGGGAGGCGCCTGGAGAAGGCGGGACCATCCCATGGTGGGGAGGGCGGGTGTGGGCGCCCATAGGGTCCCCCTCACCAATCCTTCACCACCCACCCACCGCTCGCACTCAGCATGCCCGCCCCCCGCGCCCCCCAGCCAGGGGAAGAACAGCGTGCTGCCAGGAAGCGGTGCTCGAAATCCTGCAGCAGGCGTGAGGCTTCCATGCTCTCCTCCCGCGCCATGACGGGCGAAGCCGCCACCACGTTGCTCCAGAGACCTTTGCTCCAGAGATGGGGCAGAAATAGGGAGGCACCTGGAGGAGGCACCTGGGACCAGTCTGAAGCAACCGAGGGCGGAACCTGAAGAGGCCAAAGAAGGCTGGAGGGGTCAGGGGCATAGCCAGGCACACTCAAGCTCTGGGTGGAGAGTTTAGGTTGTGGAGGCAGGGTAGCGGGTGGGTGGGTGAGGAACATATGGTGGGCAGAGTCACGGGTTTTCACGTGCTGGATCTCTAGTCCTATATAATAATCCTACATAATAAAAGGTTAATATGTAAATTGTCCCCTCAACTAAGAGTTCGACCAGGGGGCAGGGATGGCCAACTGCCTGTGGCCCTCCTCCCGGCTGGCCCCGCCCCTGAAAAATCCCCCCACCCCAATCAGGGCGGTACCAGATTCCCAACTTCCCACAGCCCCTCCCCCTGGCCACCCCGCTCCCAATCAGCATCCCTCTACTCCAATTGGGGGCAGGGCCAGCCTGCCAACCACCTGCAGCCCCTACCCCTCACCAGCCTGGCCCAATCGGCCGCAATAGGGGCAGGCCAGCCAAACCCCACTGTGCACAAATTATTGCACCAGGCCTCTATTCTATAAAAGCCTAAGCGACTGTTAAAGTAGAACGACCAAAATGACAGGTTGCTATGTTGCGCACTGACCACCAGGGGGCAGACGATAATGCAGGGCTACCCCTGGTGGTCAGTGAGCTCCCACAGGGCTCACAGCTGGTGAGCGCAGTGGCAGTGGCAGTGGCAGGAGCTTCTCCTGCCTCTGCAGCAGTGTTAAGGAGCAGTAAGGAGCAACGAGCAGTAAGAAGCGAGGAGTCCTGGACTGCAAGAGGGCACAGCCAGGCTGACGGACACCCCCACACCCAGTGCATGAACTTGGTGCACCAGGCCTCTAGCATATGAATAAACCACAGTGCTGTCACTGTTACTCTTTGCCAATTTGTTCTGGATCTCCCTTCCACTCCTATGATCTTCTAATTACTCTCTGCCAAATACTTCAATATATGAACCCTGTAAACCCTTGGAAAGGCTATCAAGAAAACTGTGTGTTTTTTTTAATCAAGTTCTTCAACTAAATAAGTCATGACATTTCCTGACACCCAACATCATTGCAAAACAAAAAAAAGAAACTATGACTTACTTCAGTTTTTTTAATTAAGACACTTTTAGTTTTAGTTTCAAGTTTATGGGAAAAAATTGAGGGAAAAGTACAGAGACATACCCAAAACCTCTCCCTTTCTTCCCCCCCTTTCCAACATTTTTAACATCTTGCAATTGATAAGCCAATATAGGTATATTATTAACTGAAGGCCGTATTTTACATTAGGGCTCACTCTGTTGTATACTCTGTGGCTTGGGGGAGCTTAAAAACAAATTTGAAAATTGTTGTTAAATATATAAAACATGAAATGTATCATTGTAAGCATTTTTAAGTGTGCAATTCAGTAGTGTTGGGTACATTCACACTGTTGTATAACTAATCTTCAGAACTCTTTTCATCTTGCAAAACAAAAACGTTATACCCATTAAATAGTATTACATTTGTCTTAAGCTCAATACCTACTACATAAAATAAACATAACTTTTAAACTTAATTCCTCTACATAATCTTTCTCAATTTTTTCTGTAATCTAAAAATCCAATTTACCATATTATTTCCAATTAGCTATAAAAGTTTAGTTTTGCTTTATTTTCATCATATAATGAAAACTAAGATTCAATAACAGAAAACTACATATTCACCCAAAAATATTATTTATTTTGTACTCCAGTAAGGGTTAGGGGATTAAGAAATAGATTCATCCCCTTTAAATAATCAATATTCACATTTTGTTTAATCTTACCAAAATATTGCTGTATTTCCAAACATAACAAATAATTATCTTAGTGTATACATATAAATTAAATACTTTAATTGGTTTTTACATGTGGAAAGCAAAAGATTAGAAAAAATAGCCCAGTTAACTGGTGGCCACAGATAGAAGATAGAAAAACCAACCCTAGGTGTACCAGCTCATTTCATCTGCAAAATGAGAAATTTTTCTGTAAAAATATCCAACCTAAACTGAAGAATCAGTTGGAAATGAGGCTTCATTGTTTAGAATTTTGCTTTACAGATATTTTATAAACCTTTAATCAGTTTCAGGTTTGGTCACTCTTTAAGTCAATTCTTCCATGCAAATGTTCTACATTCATCCCTTTCTCACTAATGTTCAATCACTTCCTCAGTCTAATCCCTATTTACGTATCTTTTTCTCAATGCTTTTTCCCCTCTCTTATCTAAAATACAAAGAATTAGTACAAGAGACTCCTAATAGCGTCTCTAACGACTGTACATTCAAAATAAAAAAACAAACTCACTTCAATCAATAGGTAACTTATTTAACCTACCTGAGTCTCAGTTTCCTTATCTGCAAAGAATAAAAATATGGCCAGTGTTCTATTATTATGTACCTGGGACACTGCAAGTGGTGAATTATTGAATGAAATGCTAATTCCATGAAGTTGTTAAACATTAAATGTGGCAGTATATGTAAAGTTCTTAGCACACTGCCAGGCATACTGAAAGCTCATGTTAAATGGAAGTTACTGCCATCATCAAAATCTTCAGTGCCTCCCCATTGCCCACAAATTCCAATGTAAACCTTTCTGTCCTGTTTTTAAAAGAAGCCTGTGGTTACTGAGCCTTAATGTCTTTCACCAATTTAATCTCTAAACAAGCACTAAAATCAAGTCAACATTTTCAGGCTCTCACAAAGCCAAGTTTATTTCTCAAGTTTCAGACCCTCGTTCGTAACTACCCTCTCACTGGAACACCTTCTATCTTCCCTTGCCCAGCCAAAGCAAACCCTTCAGTCACATCCCATCTTTCCAGGAAGCATATCCCAACCATTCCAGCTTTTACTCACTTCCACTTTTATCTAAAACCCTCACACACGTTATTTTATATTATCTGCTACTGTCCAATCTTTCTGGGTAAACCGGAAATTACACTAAAGCTTTTAGTTCCATATTCTCTATGCCATCCCCAAATGTATAGATATGACATACAGTATAGATTAATCTAAATTGTTAACAGTAGTTATTTCAGGATAAGATTATGAATGATAATCATCTTTTTTTAATTCTTTCTTACGGTTTCCAAATAAATCATTTTATGATTTACAAATCCTATAATGCTATTCTACAGATTTATAGTGAAATAACTTATGATCCTAAATTTCTATAATATTTTCTGGGAAATAAACAAATGAACATATATATGTCAGGGGAATTTTAACAACTATTTATTTTCTGTACAGTTCTTTAAAAAAAAAAAAAAAAATCAGTGGTTCAGATATGATATCCAGGGTAACCAACCCTATTTCTGAATGTGCTTAGTACTGGTCGAGTCACCAGAAGTTCACTGTTTCTCACTGCTTTTCAGGAAATGTTATTTTCATATTTTTTGCTCAAAACACGTAACTTTCTAATACAAAACAAAAGTGATACTGTCAATGTATTTGAAACACCAAATATAATTTTAAAAAATTCTTACCTAATCCTTTTTGTCCTGGATTCTTTGCAAAATTAAAAGTAAACTGGTAAAAATCCTTAAATCGTCCTGGTTCTTTCAATTCTTGTTCCATCTTGGGTATCTGGGCCTTTAGTTTTTCTATGCTGTCACATCTACATTGTAAAATTAAGTTTATAAAAGATAAACTTTTTCACTATAAATTAAGGACTTAACTTATTCCTATGATAGCTTATCTTTATTTCATAGAACTTTTTAAAAATCAGACAGCTGTCATTCTCTTTTTACATTACATAAACAAGTATGGGTTTAGTTAGAGGAAGAAAAGGTCTGGAGTGATTAAATGTTAGAAATAATTACTATTTTGGAAAGAAATGGGCCATTACTTTAATTACATAACTCACTGAACTATTAACACACCTGAAATGTAGAAGTCAGCTGTCGTGAACAGATGAGAATGTGCACTAATCAACAACAATCACCAGTTTAAACTGTAGTAGATACTCCTTTGATGGTAACAAAACACATGTCTAGCTTCCAAACTAATTGAAAGCATAATTTCTTATTTTGGTGAATGCACTCTTCTTGAAAAGTTACATTTTGTTACATATAAAGTTTAAGTATCTACTGAGTGCCCTAGCATTTTCAACTGAAGTTACAATCCACAGTAAGCTCTATTTTTGCAAAGTATTCAACTTCTAAGGAGTTGAAAGGGTCCAAGTACCAGTCTTACTTTTCATATAATAGCCCTAAGATAAAAATATTCTATTTCTTATATAGAGTCTACAAAAATAATCACTCCACTTTTTTCTTCTGATCTTTTTCCTTTTATTTTCTTTCTATGTTCTTTATAATGCCTCCCTAATCACTGTTTGTGAATTAAAATTTTGATTTGGAAGTTCATGTTATACATAAATTCAGCTTCAAAAGAAAAAAAAAAGTGTGTTTTAATAACATTTGTCCTGCAAGTTCAGGATGGGGCTGGCTTTGGTTGTGGAACAGTGTCTAGGCCAGTTATTAATTTATTACCTCTCAACTTTAAACCCACTCTTCTTTGCCCTAAATTGTGACTATCTGTAGTGGACTAAAAATTGTGAGATTTTCTTTTCTTGCCAGTTGGCTCACTTTTAGATTCTACCAACAGAGGGCAATGAAAGGCTGAAAGAGGAAAGGAACTTTTCTTATTCCAGTTTGTTTTCTGCAGAGCAAGGGTTGCAGCGTGCTGGAAGGTCCCAGCAGTGTTTACCAATGATAGCACCTCACACGGCCCCACAGCAAGTGGCCTCTAGCCAGTTTTTCCTCATCGGAGTGGCAGACGAGGCAGGTATCACAGGCTTTGTGTTCGCAGCAGCCATGCCCTCTCTTTTAGGTTCCTTGCTTACTCATTTCCCTCAGTTCCAGGGGTGGTGGCAGTTTCTTACAACTGCAACCTCTGTTATACCTCAAAGCTTTCTTTCACCCTTTTACATAGTAAAACAATATTTTCAATTTAACCTATTCAAAGTACTGATATATTTTTGTGTCTTGTCTGGACTCTGATTGATTACAGTGCACCTCAGGCTCAAGGTCAGAATGCCTAGGATCAAATCCTGGCTCTAAATACTACCTAACTCTAGTTCTCTGTACCTCAGTTTCCTCATCTCTAAAATGGGGATATACATACTTCTCATACACAGTTATTGTGAAGAGGTAGGTGAAGTACTTACTTAGCACAGTTCCTGAAATAGAATAAATGTTCAACAAACGTTAGCTATTATTACCGTATTTTTCGGACCATAAGACGCACCAGTTTTTAGAGAAGGGAAATGAAGAAAAAAAGATTCTGAAACAAATATTTTATGTGCATTAAAACCCAACATCACAGTCATAAACACATGTAATCAACCCTGTAAAGTAAACAGCAGCATTTAGAACCATTTTAGAGCCGGGCAATCACACAGAGACCACACAGAGCCGGGAAGTATATGTGTAGGCTATATTTGGACCATAAGACGCAGGGACTTTTCCCCCCCACTTCTGGGGGGGGAAAAGTGCGTCTTATGGTCCGAAAAATACGGTATTTCATAGTCATCCACTAAAAACAAAGGGAAGCCTGTTACCTATCCAAAGACTGAGTACTTTTGCAGCCTCATTAAATACAGACAACTAGAGGCCATAGGTAAAACCTCTACCCATGACTTTTCAATTTATTTATCCCAAGTCATTTAAGCTAATCAGATGTCAAGATAAACTGAACAAAAAGTGATTAGTACCTTATAAAATTTTAAATTTTGAGCATAAGTTTAGAATTTGCAGCCTCATATTATTAAGTACCTTAAAACCTGCTCGTTTCATTATCATGTTAAATATTAGTAATTTTATTAATTAAAATAGTAATTTATTTTAATGTTAAGTACAATGCAAATGGAATAGGCTGTTCTAACTATGCAGATAACTTGACAAACCCAGAAAACTGGATAACATGGGAAGGAATTAGCATATTAGCCCATTTCTATTTATAACAATGTTTGTGGGCTGACAAATTTATGTTTACATTGAAAAACTCATAACAATTCATTTCCATAGTAATTCTCATAGTAATGAAATTAATTTCCTTTGATAATTATGTGCTCACCCTAATTCTGTCATGCCGTCCATGAACTCTTGCTTGGAGAACTCGCACTGTGTTGCTGCTCTGAACTTCCATGCAATGATCAACACACTAATGCTGGCTGGATCGAGGGCCAGGTCATCACAGAACTGTTGTATACCATCTATTCCAATTTTATTTTCATCTTGAGGATCTTCACAAATAACAATGCAATATTAAGTTAATGCCATACTTTATTATACTATTTCTAAAACTAAAAAGGTAATGCTTTATGCTCCATTAAAAAATAATCACATAGACTAAAAACAAGAAGCAATATTACTAAGTATCTCCCCTATAATATTCAAAGCCGATGTGCCCTCAAAATAGCACTCTTCTTAAAATGAACAGGAGGCAGTAGGGGGTTGGAGGGAGCTTGATATATGGTGATGAAAATGGTTTGACTTTGGGTGGTGGACACACAATGCAGTATACAAATCATGTATCATAGAAATGTATACTTGAAACCTATATGACCCTAGTAACCAATGTCTCCCCAATAAATTTAATAAAATTATGAAAAGATGGATTCATACTTCATGCTACATACTAAATAACATAAACTCTAAAAAAAGATGAACAGGAGAATACACAGGGTGGGGCAAAAGTAGCTTTACAGTTTTGAGTACACAAAACAGTTCGTTCTTGTATTAATTATTATTTTTCATACAAACAACTGCATATCTACTTTGCCCCACCCATTTTTATATATAGATGGGCACTTAATTTTTAAGACTCACTTATTCATATGAAAAATGTCCCATACTCATACACATTCAGAAAATCTGACAGTATTTATAAAGGATTTTTACTGAACCCATCCATATTTTAAGTAAACATTCTAAATTAACAGTATTCTATACAAAAAAATCTTTTTTCCTTAAAACGAAGTTCACTCTACCACAGCAATTACTTCTTGAGAGTATCAGGAAAACCATAAACTCAGCTATTAAATCCTAATCTCAACAATATAAATACCTATTGTTCAAATTAAAGAAAAATACCAACTATAAATATTTACTTGTCAGACAGAAAAACTTTTAAATAGTGACAAATACAAGGAAAAAAAGGCACTCATACGCTGCTACCAAGTGTGCTTTGCTAACATCTCTAACAAAAAAAACAGTGACTTTTCTGATTTGGGGGAATGAGTTATGCATAAAATAGTCCATTTTTGGAAAAACATTTTAAACTTTGTATACATATTTCTGCATAAACAAAATGACACGGAAGGATCCACACCAGAATTAAGTACTGGTTCCCTCAGGAGAATAAATAAGGAAAAAATGGAGAAACTATAACTTTCTTCATTCATCTATTTTGTATTATTTAAACATTTTAAAGAGCATATTACTTTTAAGTTCTTTAAAGGTTATTAAAATTATCACGCAGGTATTCTTAAAATCAGTTCAGCTGAGTTTTATTAAATAGGTGGGGGGGGGGGGGGGGGGGACACGGACACCCCAACCTCATTCTCAAATTCTATTATGGTGGAAGAAATAAAGAAGCTAAGAAAAAGTATCAGTGGAAAGAGAAAAATAATTTATCTTTGATCTCTTTGAAGTAATTCTAAGATCTACAGAGTTCTGTTGAGGTATCCACCTATATCATGTGTTCTCTGTATTATGCATATATATAAATACCTATAAATATGTCCTATGTGTTATTTCTCATCAGCATGTAACTTTGGAACACCTGGTTCAAAATATTTGAAGTTACAAATAAACACTCACCTTTGTATCTATTGTATAGTTGTTCTAACTTCTTCCTGTCCAATGATCCTTTTACACTCTCTCGGATATAAAGTTCAGGATTTTGGAAAAAATTGTCTGTTGCAACATCTAACTTCCAGTCATTTTGAGACAGGCAACTTACTGCTGTTTTTTCACTAGATTGTGTGAAGATCATAAACTGACGAACTTTATCCTTCTGCGATGATTTCAACTTGTTCTATTGAAACCAGAAAATAAACTGAAACATGATGTAAAAATCACGGAACACTAAAGTGGTATTTCTATATGCCTGACTAATCACTCTGCAATACTTTTTCCTCATGATTTATTAAAACATTTTAGTTCAAGATTTATTTTTTATCTACTAATCAGAAAGACAAATTTTAAAGAAATCTAAAACACAAAATTTAGTATCATCCTGCATTTCTTCTAAAAGTGGATCCTGAATGGACGTATAAAGGCTCTAGAAGGGAAGTACAGCTACTCTCAAAACCTTAATCAAGCACGAAGTTCTAAAGGGGTATACATATATATAACAACTGGTGGGGAAGGTGACATTATCTAGCCAGCCAGAACAATCAAATGACCCTGGGTAACAATGAGATTAGCAGGTGCTTGCTGCAGTCCTAAAACCCACTATAAAAAATAGGGTATAATCCTCCTCCCAACTCCACCCCTTGTTTCCTTGCTATTTTATAGCAAATGTGAGAAAGCAACAGACTATGAGTACCTGCTATTTTCCTGGTGGTGTTCAGAAACCAAGATAATTACCAATAAAATTTCATAATCAGAAGCCCTTGAAATATGAACTTCCATGCATCCTTCCAACAAAGGTAAACAGGATTCTCCCTTTCCCCCTGAAAGAAACCCTTTTTCCCCTTAGCCTGAGCCTAGCATAGCCTCTCTCCAAAAAGCTTCTCTACTGTAATAATAACCTTTTCTCACTTGCCTTATGTTGATACTGATTCATTTCTCATCTGGACTGAACCCTAAGCAAAATGAAACAAGGCAATTAGGCCCTGCACTCTCTCCCCCTATTAAGAACCATGTTCTCCCTCCTCTCCCACCCAAGCTAGTCTCCTATGGAATGTCAGCCTCTCCACTATTATTCTTGTCTCCTAAAACTATCTTTCAGCAAAATACTTGGGTTAGTTCTGGCCAAGGTGGTTAGGTTGGCTGGAGCATCATCCCATACACCACAAAGTGACAGTTTTGATTCCCGGTCAGGATAGATGGCATGGGCTGTAGGCTGGATCAATGTTTGTTTGCTTCTTTCTCTCTTTCCCCCTCCCCTTCCTCTCTAAAAAATATAAAATAAAATAAAAAATTTTAAACCAACTTGGTTTTTCCTGGGCTACTATTACAGCAAAAGGAGGAGGGAAAAGAATGTATGGCATACATTAATGGATACAGTGTCCTGTGTAAGCAACCATCTGAGAACCCCAGAATCTTTTATCTGACCCAAAGTGACAGATCACAAACTTCAACCCCCATTGTACAAATGAGAAAACAGAAGTTGAAAGAATTAGTTCAAAACTCATCCAGGTTATTATTAGTAGAAAAGGGACAAGAACAGAAAGGTTTTATAAATCCAAGTCATGGTCATCCTATAAAACCACATTACTTATTGTACAGATTTATAAGCCTTTTGAAATTTTCAGGAAAAAAGACTACCAAAAATATAATTCCAAAGTAAAAATAACACTATACAAAAATCAAACATGAAAAGTGTTTATGCCTAGAGTCTGACCTGCCAGCAACACTCCTCTCTGTAAATATGCTATTGCTTAAGATTTAGATTAAAATTTCAACCTCTGTTCATTAAACTGGAGAAACTATAACTCCAGTAACCTTGTTATTTCACTAATAACTACCACCTCTGGACACAAGTATGTCATATCCCATTATACAACACATCTCTTAAATGTCTAAAATTCTTCTTTTTTGAAAAGTGTCTCCTCAAGATATAATTCAATTGCAACAAACCTACAGTGAAATAAAATCCCAAAGAAAATAACTGTCTTACTTAATATACTGAAAGGAAGCCACTTTGATTTCAATATTTGTTAGTAAAACTATTTTTTTTAAATTTCTATACCTTTCTCCCTGGGAAGATATAGTATCCTGATACATGTTTCAATCCTTCTTTGACGAACAGGGAAGTACTGAGGGTCCCTATGGTCATCAGTGACCACTGTATAATGTACAAGGTGTTGGAGATTAACTGAGAAGTATAACTACTGGCCACATCCTGAAAATTATTTTTAATTAAACCTGATACAAGTGTTTAGGTTGGCTGGAGCCTCATCTCATACACCAAAAGGTGAGTAACTTTCCCTCCATTCTCCTAATAGTTGTTGGAGGCAGCAAAACAATCAGGATTATTTGGGGTTTTATCATAAAGTATTAAATCCAATGCACTGTTCCCTGGAACTTGAATCACTTTTGTTGAAGAGAAGGAAAAACACAGCTTAAAGTTAATTCCAAAAAGAGCTGTTCACTCTCCTAATGACTGTCAGAGAGCAAGGTATTAGAAAGTTGAGGGAACAAAGATAAAAAAATCATCTTACCCTCACAAACAGCAACATTATATAAGTGAATTATTTAATTCCAGGTCATATTTTATTTGAAAAAAAGTATATGTATTAAATAATGTTTATGTATATACATATGTAAACTATTTTAACTGGTTTAAATTTCTAGTATATGGGCAATACAAATATATTTTCAGAAAAAAGTCTGCAGCTACCCATTTCTAACACCATAAAAGCAGAGAACTGATAATATGGGTTCCTGCAAGGCCAAGTAGTAGTAAGCAATCCCATTCCTTCAAAGTCTGATCAGTATCCTCTCCCTCCCTCTTGTATTTATCATATACTCTTATCATTTCTCTACTTATTCTCCGTGCCTAGAATAAATCTTACCACCCACTGTCCTACTGAAGAGCATGTTCTCAAGTCTGTGATCTCAAAGGCTGTCCTAGAGTAAAGCTGGAGTTTACTATATTGACCTGCCCTCCTCCCAAGCCTATTTATGAGAGCTGTAACACTCCCACCCCTTTTGCCTTTTCCCCAGCCATTTGGGGGCACCAGGCAAGGTGTTTGAGAGTATGGTACCAAAGGCTGCAATTGTTATCAACTTAAAGAAGACAAAATGGGTATCTAGCAAGCAAATAATTATTTTATAGATGAGAGGATGGACAGAAAACTGAAGTGGAAAAGAAACAGATGGATGTTTTCTACTTCTACTATAAACCCAGTGAGGAATCTTCCTAAGACCAAAAACATATGATAACTACAATGATTCAGCACTCACTTGTAGTGCATGCCACTTACTTTAAGATCTATTTAAAAGAAACTAGAGTGGTCACTAAATAAAATTAGGTAAGACAATATTCAGTACTCAAATGTAAAAACTACCTAGATTTAAATTTTCAAGGAAGTTCAATAGTGGTAAGTAAAATATATAAAATCAGGATATATTCTGATTATTTTTTTATTTTAGAAAAATAAAAGGAGATGGAGCTCGAGGAAGAGGAACAGAGAGGAAGAAAGGAAATGGGGGGGGGGGGGAAGAAATGCTGTTTCTTGTAATAGAAAGCTACTTCTAATTGTATTGAAGATTACCAACATTAGAAGGACTACCATAATCTAGACAATAAAAAGCACTTATTTGCTCATCTTTCCAAAATGAAAAAAATGGTTGTTAATACATATTATTTAATACTTAAACCTATCACATGCTTGTAAATTTTTTCACTTAAGAAATGTAAAAATCACATTTAAAATAACAGAGTATCTAGGAAAAAAATCAGACAAATACTTTGAATGTAGTCAAGTATATCTTACCACTAACTCTACAAAGTCTACTGTGATAAATTGTGGACTCAGAAAGACTTTATATAAGAAAATAACAATGATCATAAAGTTAAATTTCTCACATAAGTAGTTCTCTTAAGAAAAATAATCAACATGGTAAATGATTTTCTAGTTAACTAAATCTTGACAATCTGAAATGAAATAATTTTAATGGGTGATATTTTTAAAAGCAAAAAATTAAGACATATTTTATTATTCTAAATTTTCATCTTCTCACCCTTGACTTAATTCTCATCTCAGGAGTTGATGAATATAGCTCACAAAAGACAATGTTTTAACAATTAAATCCCTGTAATGACCACTCATAATTCTCACTAAAAGCTCTGTGTTTTCCATATGACTAAGTTTAACTTCATCTGAAACTTAAGAACTAATTTAAGTCCAAAAAATCATACTTTCCACATACAATACATAGTATACAGTAGATAAAGCCAAGAATTGCAATATCCTATACAACTCACCCATAAAAAAAAAACTTCCCATAGGTTAAAGGTCTGAAGTCAAAAGCACAGGAAAAAGTCAACTGGAGAAACCAAGATGGCAGCATAGGTAAGCACCTAAACTGCAGCCTCACACAACAATTTCAAAACTACAACTAAAAAACAGAACAGACATCATCCAGAACCACAGGAAAGCTGGCTGAATGAAAATTCTACAACTAGAAAGAAAAAAACTCACGGAGAATCATAGGAGCTGCAAAGGGCTGAGGTATAGAGACACGCGTGCAGAGAGAAAGGGCGGCTGAGTGCCTGGCTGGCTTTCTCTGGCGGGAGAGAAAAGGAAGCTCCCGACTGCACTGAACCCCAGTTCCAGGCGAGACCCTGTGGACCCAGGCACATACGGGGAAAGTTTGGACTGTCAGGTAGAGAGAAAGGCACATGAAGACTCAGGGGAGCCGCGGCAGGCAAGGTTCTGGAGGCGCGTGCACACGAGTGGGCACAGAGAAGACTGATTGCTGAGGTTGCCGTTGGCTTTCCCTAGTGGGAGGGAGGCGGAAGCTCCCAACTGCACTGAACTCCAGTTCCGACTGCATTGAACCTCAGTTCCGGGCGAGAACCTAGGGACCCAAGCTTTTACGGAGGGAAAGCTGGACTAAGGTGAAAACTCAGGGAAGCCATGAAAGGCAAAGGTCTAGAGGCGCGCGCAGATGTGCGTGCAGAGAGGACTGACTGTTGAATGTACCGCTGGCTTTCTCTAGCTGGAGGGAACCGGAAGCTTCCGACTGCGCTGAACTCCAGTTCTGAGCAAGAATCTGGGAATCCAGATTCATTGAGTAGAAACTGGACTGTCTGGCAGCGGGCAAAACTTGAGGGCAGCTTTCTCTCAGAGGTAATTGCAG